GGAGGGAAAGAGGGATAATGTGTGTGAAAGATTTTGGAGTCAGAGCTCCTTTTTTAAGTTTGTAAAACTTGTGTGTTTTTAAAGTGAAGGGTTGCCACCTAGTGGACACATTTAAGGAGAACCTGTAAAAACTCTCCGTGCAGACATATAAGATGCAATGGGATAAAGCTTTTCAGATTCTTCGTCAGCTTAACAGGTAAGAAGGCAGTTGACTGGACCTGGGTCTGGACTCTAGTTTTGTAAGTGATGCTGGGCAAAGTTCCAAATCTCTCTGTACTTTAGTGAATTTGAACTAAGACAGACCATCATGCATTTAACAAATACAGGCAGTCCCCGACTTACGATGGTTCAACTTACGATTTCTGCTTTCGTGATGCTGCAAAAGCAAGATGTATTCAGTAGTGACCATACTTTGAGTTTTGCACTTTGCCCTTTTCCCAGGCAGGCAAGACGCAGTGTGATGCCATCGGTGGTGCTGAGTCAGCCACGCAGTCACAAGGGTAAACCCACACTCCACAGCGTACTGTGTCGTCAGATGATCCTGCCCGCCTGTAGGCTGATGCAAGTGTTCTGAGCACATTGAAGGGTTGCGAGGCTGGGCTATGCCGTATGGGAGGTCAGGTGTAGTAAACGCACTTCCAACTTACAATACTTTCAACTTAGGATGGGTTTATTGGGTTGTAACCCCACTGGAGGTCGAGAAGCATCTGGATGATGACGGGTTCCTGTGAACCAGACCAGACTGTGGAGCTACAGTTCCCTAGATGGTTTCCCAGACTGTGGGGAATACAGGAGAGCACAAAAGAGACAGGTTCCTCCTGGAGTCTAATGAGGGTGTGTGTGTGTGTCGGGGGGAGACACTGCTTTAGATTGAGTGGTTAGAAATTGGGTTAAACCTTAGATCCTACATGTAATGCTCTTACAACCCTAAGCAAGCCCCAGTCTCAAGGATGACATTAAGATCTAAATTCTAGCTGGGTGAGGGGACTTACGCCTGTAATCCCAACACTTTGGAAGGTGAAGGTGAGAGGATTTGCCTGAGCCCAGGAGTTCAAGACAAGCCTGGGCAACTTGGCGAGACCTTGTCTCTATAATAAATCCAAAAATTACTGGGTGTGGTGGTGCCCACCTGTGGTTCCAGCTACTTGGAAGGCTGAGGTGGAAGGATCGCCTGAGCCCAGCAGGTCAAGGCTGCGGTGGCCGTGAGCATGTCACTGCACTCCAGCCTGAGCAACAGAGTGAGACTCTGACTCAAAAAAAAAAAAAAAAAGATCTAAGTTCCACAAGAGCTGTAACACCTTGGTCATCACTCTCTTCCTAGTAATGCTTGACATGTAAAAGGCTGTTAATACACACTTGTTGAATAAATGAATGACATTACCTTAACACAGTTCCTGGTACATAGTAAGTACTAAATGGAAGATATTCAGGAAATTACGACTATGTATATTATGTATATAGGTAATCCTGAGCTTATTTTGATTTAGATTGATACATAGTACATAATTTACCAAAACTGTTAAAAACTGTTATATACACTCTGTCACCCAGGCTGGAGTGCAGTGGCACACTCACAGTTACTACAGCCTTGACCTCCTGAGCTCAGGCAATTCTTCCCCCTCAGTCCCTCAGCCTTCCAAGTAGCTGGGACTACAGGCGTGCATTACCACCTCTGGCTTTTTTTTTTTTTTTTTTTTTT